GGTCATCAGAATATGAGGAAACCAATATGCCTACTGCTCATAATCTTGTCCCTATCATCTATGATCAGTCCCAATACATTCAGCATTTAGAGGCAGAAGTCAAGTTCTGCAAGGTAAGTTTCTCATTAAAAACATAAACCTGCCTAAATTAAAGTTTATATTAATAATTCCTTGTGCAAAAATTTGCTATTATTAGTCTTCATGTTTATAGCAATTATATTGACAATTGCCATACTTATGATTGGAAAGACTAATTTGTATTAGGCTTGGGAATGATACCCTTGACCATGCCATTTCTTTTTTTAAAAAAATATTTTTATTGATCTTTTGAGAGAGAGGAAGGAATAAAGAGAGAGAGAGAAAAACATCAATGTGAAGAGTAAAACATAATTGGCTGCTTCCCCCATATCCTCAACTCTGGATCTTGTCCTGATTGGGCATCGAACCGGCACACTGAGCCACACTGGCCAGGGCAACCAGGCCATTTCTGATTGCTTAATTTTCCAGTAGTTCATAACTCAACTATGTCTAACATTTTGATTATATATGATCTCATGTTTCAGAATTTTTCTATCCACTCCAATTACTTTAGCCCAGCTGAGTGAGGAGGCTTCGGAATAGTAATCCCAGTCATTCCCCCACATTTGTCAACCTACTGAAGCTGGGGTGCAGCAGGCAGGGACCTACGCTACTAGACTACACCTGCTCCATTGTCAGTATAAAGGTTCTTCCCTTGGCTTTGAATGATGGGAATGGCTCATGGGATACTAGTAACAAAGATCAAGAAACCGAATGTTTCTCCTTTTGTGAATTACGCTTTTGATATTATCTCTAAAAACCATTGCCAAACCCAAGGTCACCAATATTTTCTCTATTCTTCTTCTCAGCGTTTTCTAATTTTGTGTTTTACATTCAGACCGATGCTCCCTTTTAAGTTAGTTTTTGTGTAAGATTCGTTGTTGTTGTTTTTTTGTTGTTGTTTTTTGCATGTGGATATCTAGTTGTTCCAGAAACATTTGTTCAAAGACCATCTCCATTGAATTGCTTTTGCTCCTTTGTCGTAGATCAGTTGACTATATTGTGAGTCTATTTTGGGGATCACTATTCTGTTCTACTGATTTATTTCTTTATTCTTTTGCAAGTACTATGCTGTTTTGATTTTTGTAGCTTTATAGAAAGTCTTGAAGTCAGGTAGTGTTAGTCCTCCGACTTCATTCTTCTCCATCAGTATTGTGTTGGCTATTCTGTGTTGTTGGGTTTTTTTTGTGTGTGTGTTTTCCTCTCTATATAAACTTTAAAACCAGTGTGCCAATATCAACAAAATAACATGCTGGGATTTTGATTGGGATTATTATCTAGAGATAAAGTTGGGAAGAAGTTTCTGAAGAACTTCTTTTAATATTTCTTGTAAGGCAGGTCAACTGCAATATTTCTCAATTTCTATTTGTCTCTGATTTTCTACACTTTGATATGCTATATGATATGGGTGGAGACTTCTTGGTGTTTGCCTGCTTGGTGTTCTCTGAGTTTCCTGGATCTGTGATTTGGGGCCTATTATTTATTTTGGAAAATTCTTGATCATTGTTGCTTCAAATATTTCTTCTCCTTGGTCTCTTCTCTTTCTGTAATTCCCATTACATATATGTCACACTTTTTGTAATTGTCCCACAATTCTTGGATAATCTGGTTGTTTTCATTCTTTGTTTCTCTTTGCATTTCATTTTGAGAAGTTTCTATTGACAGTTCTTCAAGTTCATTAATTCTTTCCTTGGATGTGTCCTGTCTATTAATGAGCCCATCAAGGCACTCTTCATTTCTGTTGTCATGCTTTTTATTTCTAGCATTTCCTTTTGATTCTGTCTTACATATTTAATTTCTCTGCTTGCATTACCTTTATGTTCTTATATGTAGTCCACATTTTCCACTAGACTCTTTAGCATATTAATGCTGAGTATTTGGAGCTAATTAATCTGATAATTCCTCTGCCATATCCAAATTTGGTTCTGTGCTGGCTTAGTCTCTTTAAACTGTTTTAAGTCTTTTAGTGCAACTTGTAATTTTTCATTGAATGTTACACATGATGTACTGGGTCAAAGTGTTAACATAAAAAGCATTCAGACCTGTAAAGAATTTTGTGAGTTTATTTGAGCCAAACTGTCGATATATGCCGGGAAGCAGAACCTCAACGAATTGAGATAATGCTCCGGAGAATGAGGAGTTCATACCTTGTTTTTATAAATTTAAAAGGAAAATAGTTAAGTGGGTTACATGAAATTCATTGGTGATAGAATTAAGGCGTGGGAGAAAGCAAAGGGGGTGGCCAGGCCTCTGGGATAGGATAAAAATGGAATGATGGACATATGCTTTTTTCACACAGATGGATACAGGATAATTTTACATAATTAACAGGTGACAATTAACTTGATAACAATAACAACGAGGAATGTCCTGGTGCCATTTGTTGTGCCTTGAGGGGTCCAAAAAAAAAAAAGGAAGTTACAAGTTACCCAGACATCTCGCAGATATGTTATCTTAGAGGCAAAAAGACTGACGGGCTCAGTAAAGATCTAAGTTGATCTTTGTCAGGGAAAATACTGGCCTAGGACATGACTACTCCACATAACCTGTTTGTAGTTGAGTATTTAATTTTCAGACCACCTTTTGTGGTTATTTTAGGTCTTTGAGTTGGCACACCTGCCATGCAGGCCTTCCCTGAACTAGTCAGGTTAGCATATGGCCCCTTTCGTCCCCAAAAGGAACTGAACGAAGTGGACATTTAGTGTGAGATTTCATGTTTATTTGGCTGGGAGTTAGGCAGTGTGTGCTGTCTGCTGTTGCTGTAGGCGGCAGTGGCCAACATTGCCTCTAGCCTCTTGGCTTTTGTCTCCTTGGTGCCGTAGGGCTTCCCTTGGGGATTCTTCTAGAATATGGTGTAAGATGCACCGTTATTTTAGTGCATTCCCCTGCCATTACATAGGAGGCCCTTTGATGTGGTGGTGGCCTGGGAGCCTGGGAAGCAGTGTCTTCCTGTGACTAGGGCTCAGGTTTTTAGTAAGCCTTGCCCCTGGCCATGACTTTCTCAAGTGTCCGTCTTCCCCTCCCTGCAGTGAGACAGGAAGGCTGAAGGGACCGGAGATGGGTATCTCCCTCCCCAGGCCGGTTAGGACCGGAGAAAACCAGTTAGTTAGACTCTGATAAAATAGTTCCTCCTCCAGCGGGCAGTTAGGGAGAACAGAGGCTCTGGGCATATTTCAGAATGGCTGCGTCCCCTCTCCTCCCCTCTCCTCCACGGGGGCTTGTTCTCTAGTCTTCGCTGTAAGAACCGGGTGTCCTAGAGATAAAATTCACAGAAGTGTAGGATTCCCTCAACACTGGAGTTTTAACACGCAGCCTTGTCTACACTGAGCGTTTCGTCAATGACACATACGTTTCCCAGCTCAGTGTTACGTGGGGTTCGGACGAGCAGTCTCTTCTTGTGGGGTCTTGTCCTACGAAGTTTGAAGAATAAAATTGGCGGACTAAAAGATTTTAAATAAAGATGTGGAAGATTTTTGGAAGCATATACAAACTCTCCCCTTGGAGGGGCCCCTAATGGGGAAAACCTCTCTCCCTCTCTCTGGCTCTCTCTGGCTGGCGCTGTCTCTCTCTCTCTCTCTCTCTCTCTCTCTCTCTCTCTCTCTCTCTCTAGTTCAGTTTCTCTGAGTCTCTTAGTCTCCGGGTTTATAAATGCTGGGAGCTCTTTATCTCTTCAGGTCCCTTCCTAATTGGATCCTTCCTTAAGTTATGTCCCCCGTGCTCTCCTAATTGGTCCCATTGGTCCCTCCTGCAGGACATCCCTTTCAAAGTTCAAAGCCCACCTGGTGCCCCCCTCCCTGCTCCCCTTCTCCTGTAACATTCCTCTATCCTCTGTGCATGTCCATCTCCTCCCCCAAGGGCCCCTTTCCCTAATACTGCCTGTCCTGTCTCTAAAATTCCCTTCACCCGCACTCATTCCTGGCAGTTTCTGCTCAAAGGCTTCAGCTCTGGTGGGTTGTGGTTTCAAGAACACCTGTCCGTCTCCACCATGGGGGGTAAAAAAGTTTTCCCTGTGATTTCAGTTCTGATGATTCTAAGAAGAGGGGTTGATTTTTCAGCTTGTTTAGCTCCTGTTGTGAAGGTGGGAGTGATATCTTCTAAGCTTATTAAATGTCAGACCAAAAATTGGAAGTCTGCAATGTTTTTTAAATTACAGCTTTCAATTACACTTTTGGTTTTCTTTTCTGAATAGAATAATTGAATGGAATTTGCATATGTCACAGAATAGTTTTGGTTACGCTAGTAATGAAGATTAAGAATTGTACCATCAATGTATTGGTAATTTTTGGCATTTTTCAGAAAATGAGATGCCATTCAAGAGCTATTCTAATTGTTATTTATATGTAATCCCCCATATTATACCCTTCAAGGCTAATAAAAAACTCTTTCAGAATTTTCCACCAAAGTATTTCACTCATAATTTCCCTCCATCTGGCTACCAGTTCACAGATAATCATTGTAACTTTCCAGGCCTTTTAATCTCAGAGCCCTGTGTTAACTATTTAGTCCTATGACAGTTTTCAACAAGTTATTGGTATTCAAGCATCTATATATATAAAAGCCGGTCGACTGGTCGCTATGATGCGCACTGACCACCAAGGGGCAAACGCTCAACACAGGAGCTGCCCCTGGGTGGTCAATGCGCTCCCACAGACATCCTCCCATAGCCAACCTCCCCCAGCTGGCCAATTTCCCACAGTCCCTCCCCCTGGCCGGCCCCAATCATCCCCAATTGCCGGCCAGATCAAGGGGCCCCACCCGTGCACGAATTCGTGCACTGGGCCTCTAGTGAGTAATAATATATCTTACCTTAGTTTTCAGCAGTCTACCAGATTCTTAAAAGACTTTTAGATAACCCCTTTACTTAAAGCCTTTATCTAAGCCTTAATCCCTTGGAGAAAAAAATTGTCAGAGACCACACGCTTCTGTGAAAAGACCATTAGCAGGCCCTCTACTACACACCTCCAGCCTTCTCTTTGTTTGTTCATTAACATTTGTTTGTATACATATAATTACAGTACTTCAGAAAATGGAGAGAGCATAAGTCTTCCATGCTTTATTCATACTGTGTCAGATTGTCTCGTAATCAACAAATAAAAACGCATCATGTGTTTGATGCCTGTTTCTGCTTTTCCACAGGAGGAACTCTCTGGAATGAAAAATAGGATACAGGTCGTTGTGCTTGACAACGAACGGCTCCAAGAAGAGTTGAAAGCTCGAAGGCCAGAGGAAGAGATGAGGGAGCAAACTCTTCTGGATGCGTCTGTGAGCGTTTTTAAAAACCACAATTGTATTTTAGTTTGAGTGTTCCCTCCCATTTCCTCCCCGGCCTTCGGAACTGGTTCAGTTTTCTCCTTGAAGTTCGGCAAAAGGACTCTGCTTACATTCGCTTGGGGCCTCAGACATTCAAAGTCCCTGGTGTGGGATGAATGCTCAAATGAAATGATGTAGCGATGCCTACACTCCACTCCGGTTTCCTCTCTGAGCATTCATTCCATTCATGTTTTTTCCATGTGGAAAGAGCAGGGCTGGAAGCAGGAAGTGTGTCATAGGGGAAGGTCCCTGTTAAGTCCAGAAACTGTTCAGGACTGTCACTTCGATCTCTGCTATATTTCTCTAAGTTTTCCTTGAGCTCTGAATTCCCATTGAGTCTAGTTAGCAGCCTGGTGAGGCAGAAAGAACACTGGCCTGAAGGTCCAAGAATCAAACTGGTCATCTTCCCCTCGTCTCCAGTAAACTAGGTGCTTAGCCAATGCTGTAATTTTAAAAAATATATATTTGTATTGATTTCAGAGAGGAAGGGAGATGGGGAGAGAGATAGAAACATCAATGATGAGAGCGAATCATACTGTGATTGGCTGCTGCCTGCACGACCCCTACTGGGGATTGAGGCGGCAACCCAGGCATGTACCCTGCCTAAGAATTGAACCTTGACCTCCTGGTTTACAGGTTCGGCACTCAACCACTGAGCCATGCTCACCGGGTGGCAAATGCTGTAATTTTAAAGAACTTTCAAATATGGCTTTAACCTCATGGGCCCTCCTGTTTATTGGCAATTTGAGAAGAATCACCTATATTAGCAGCTCTTGGTCTTTACTGTGAAAAGCAATCACTTTGCTTGCTCTTGGATGGTGTCGACCAGTGGTTGGCAAACTGCGGCTCGCGAGCC